ATGTATTTATCATATAGATAACATTCATTGGCGGACCGAAATCAAACCCCTCATTCATCGGAAATCTCTACCTGAAATCATAAACAAAATTGCAGAAAATAAATCCAGAAGCACCCCCTTTTTTTTAAATACTCGGTCTGCGACTGTAATGAATAAAGACACTTGCTATTATTTACTTTATTTCTTGTACAGTCTAAACTTAGATGACAGTTCAACTCTTATCATATTAACTGTAAATCAGATGTTAAAAATCATACTTTTTTGTAAGCATGATTTATTTCTTAGCTTTAATTGTCTTTGAGTAAGCTTTCAGTAACTGTAAGTATTTTTGTACTTTGTGTCTTCTGTTTATGTTACTTGTGTTTGTGTTTCGTGCCAATCTACTTAGTCAAGCCATTTCCAATTGATTTTTACAGTTTTTCTTATGTTGTGCTGTTACACCACTATCCAAGGTTGGGGTGCAAGTTTAGTACCCTAAAACGTGTTTGATGGATAGTTCTCTCATTGGAAATCATACCACAACTTCTTATTTTTATATTAACCCTACTACATTCTTTATAAAAATTATCTTTATTAAGCATTACACCCATAAGAGGGTCAAAGGCATAACAATTACATGTATGAACAACAATATAATGATGACATTTACATTCACATCAAAACAAAACAAAACACACATTCAACAAATGACCTCAAGTGCCCCCTGTCCTCAGTTCCATAGACTGTTTAATAAGAGAGCATAAAGATTTCACTTGCTGACTAGTAGTTGGATTTAGAATATATTTCATTTTGTTATTAGAAAAATCTTTGTACTGGGTTTTTAAATCGTTAAAAAAAGACATGTTTTTAGTCAGGAGCATGTAATTTAGTTGTTGTTGGTTGCTGTCGGTCATATTTGTTTATCGTTTAAACTTTTTGTTTTGTCAATTCTTTCTTGTTTGTTATGTTTCATATTTTTGTCATTTCTGGGCCTTTTTTATCTGCTTACTATATATATACGGTATGATTTCTACAATTTGTTGAAGGCCGTACGATTACCTGTAAACAATTACGTTCATGTCATTTAGGGAGCAACCATTTAACTTCAAAAGGGGGGGGGGGTTATGGTTTTTTGTCTGAGTCAGAGAATTTTTTCCGACGCTATCAATCAAATTATTTTTTTCAAAATTTAACACTATGTGGTATGGGGAAAATCTGGATTCAGAATATATTTTTTTTGTAATCTGCTTGACCACAATATTTTTTTTCATCAAATTGGTGATCAGAATATTTTTTTTAGAATAAAAACCATAACCCCCTTCCACCCTTTTTTTGGAAGATAAATGGTCGTTCCCTTAGGGTCTGGTAGATAGTTATCTTATTGGCAAATCATATCACATCTTATTAAATTTTACAAGATAGATTCAGTTGATATGAAGTGCTATATTGTATGTGTATACAGAATAAGAATATTTAAAGATAGAGCTACGCGAGCTCTAACGAAAACCAGGGGGCGAACTCAGGTCTTCAGAAAGGGTCAGAAGTTCCGGTTCCACAACCGAAAGCCGTCAATTTTACTCACGTTAATATGCTGCGATATCAAATCTTTAGTAACCACAAGAACGTACCAATACTAGTATAAAAACCATCGGTACGTGTAAACTCCCTAACCTCAATACTTTACAGAATGTGAGTTTGAAATGGAAACTTCTGGACAGAAGTAACACAATTATAATGATCTATTAGATAAGTACAGAAAATTTAAACAAAATCGACACCAAACTCTAAGGGGAAAAAAAGAGGTGAAAACAAGTGCTTCAGGTCAGCAGTTCTTGCCCCGCTAGTTACACCCGTCATTGCAAGTACTATCTCGGTGATGAAATGCATATGGTGATATCACAATCGAGAAAAAGAGGACTGGATTGTGGTTACAAGTGGAACATATATGATTTTATTATGTGGTCATCTTTTACACAAACAGTCCATTTAACGGTCAACCAAATCATTATGGCGTTCGTAAAACTTTTGAAGGGATGATGATAAAATTCCAAGTCAATATCAACTTTCGGTAGGCAACTTTTCTGAATATGAAGTTGATGATCTTCAGAGGGGAAAATCTAGAAACTTATTAATTTTATAAAAAATTGCCAACTAACTGTTGCTAGATCTACTTAGTATTGATCTAAAGAAATGCACTTTTCAAAATATTTGTTAAATTCAAAAAGTAAGGTTTTTTTGCACTGAAAATTTATATTCGATTTCATTTGGGCTATGATATCCCAAATGGGTGAATTATGGTCCATTCGGGAGATCGAGTGTACATGATGAAAGGACATTTAGAAGAGCCATTAAGATGCAACAGATTTATAAAACGATAATTTCATTTTAGAGTAGAAAAAGAAAGAAACAAAACAATAATAATAACATATGCAATTACACCTTGAAGATCCCCGAATCTTTACCGAATTTTAGAAAGCGGGTTACCTTTTAGCACTGACAGAATAAAATCATTTACCGTTTTATACGTCTAAAAGGTGATTAATATAACATTAAACAGATATGTTAATTCAAACCCACACAAGAAACGTTAACTGTAATTATTGCTATGTAAGCACCAGCAATACACATCACTTTAAAAATATTCAGGTCATGATAAATTTACACTAAAAATCCATGTAAACAACTAAACTCGGTCGACACAAAGGTCAATGTCAATGCCGCATTTAGTCGAGGCCCATTAAGGAAAAATCTGATAAATGAAAATTGTCAACTTGAACGACATCTTTAAATTGAATGGGATATTTAAACGACTATATCATACGTAAAATTAAATGAATAGAAAAAGTATTGGCAGTGTGCCAATGAATAATTGTTCACGAACTTTCCTTTGCACTTTGCTTAAAACACACCTTGTCTGAAAGACTTTTAAAGTCAGAATTTTTGTGCAATTTCAAGCAAAAACATGTAAAGTGATTGCACCAATATATCATAATATTATATTGTTTTGTTAGTTCATATTATGCCATGATGTCAAGCAGTGCAAATTTTACTTTACAAAGTATGTTGCTCACTGTTCTTTTATCTCTAGCTCAGTCCAAGGCCCAAAGGCGAAAATGAGACAGATCGACTGTCCGCAGCATTCTGCCTCTACACGTGTTAAAAAAAGGTTTTTATTTCGTCTTTTTGACTATATTTACATTTGTAGGTGCTCTGAAATGTTATAACAGACTGAACTAATATGACTAATATTCTTATTCAATGACACTTTTTTGTTATTATTTTACGGTCACCATGGAACCGGGAGTCCAATCTTTAAAAAAGGTTGGTGGTTGGGAGAATAGATACAGAGGGTTATATCTGAAAAAAACGGATTCCTACTAAATTTACTACTACTTTTTAAGGGATTTGATCATCAAGCAATCGAAATGGCCTTGCCCTTCGAAGCTAGAGCAATGTGTTATTGCGGTAATCTTCATTTCTTCTACCACTTGAGTATATACAATATTCTTGTTCTACGCTTTTGGACTTCTAGAAGCAACCAGTCCGTGTCTGTATTTTCATGTTTTCGCTCCGTTTTTTCTTTTCTTGGGTTTATTTGTACATGGCATCCAAGACCTGATGTTGTATACTTATTTTACGCCAAAGCGACAACAATATATTCTGAGACTTCAATTCTCAATTATATAATTTGAACTCAATCCATTTGTCTTACAAAAGAAGATATGTTCAAGCTTCCAAATTAATTAAGGAATAACAATTCAGTATTTGAAGATTGGTCACCGTCAATAGACTATTTTCATATTACCGACTTTTGACTCCGGATTACATTTATATAATTTTTCGACAGGTTACCTTTTCTGTGGTTAGACATCCTGGTACTCGGTCAAGTAAGAGCAACCAAAAGAAGAAAAATTAAACACATAATCTGTGCAATTTGAGGGGAAAGTTTTGTTTTCTGATGATTTTATCGTGTTAAGAAAATATAAAGCAGTTAATTTTTCCCCATAAATTGTATCGATTAAAAGCTTGATTTTACTTTTTTACGTTGCTCTCACTTGACCGAGTACCAGGGTGTCTTACCACAGAGTAGATAACCTGTCGAAAAAATATAAACTCCGAAGTCAAAAGTCGGTAATATGAAAAAGGACTATTGAGGATTTGACGGTTGCAAATGTAGTTTTACGAATATAATCTATTTTCTCATTTAAATTCGTATATGCATAGCGGTCCGTCATGAATGTACATTTTGATTTGACGGATATATGTGAAAATTTGAATTTGTTTTAAATATATCATTCTAATTGCTACCAACTTCATCAACTTTCCCACATTCACGACATACTCTACGAACAGGTGCGGATCCAGATTTTGAAAAAGGAGAGTATCCCTGTCAAGTCAACGTTTGGAGTAATACTTGTAAAAAGTCGATGAAATTATCATATACGAAGCTATAAAAAGGGGGGGGGGGGGGGCTTTATTTATAATATATGAGGGTACATAAAAAGGGGGGCGCTCCCCTAAATCCGCCTCTGGTAAATGCAACTCAGTCACACGTTAATGCAGTTACATTCGAATTTATGCTTCCTAAGTTATAATGACAATTTTACAAACTTCTTGTGAATGTGTGTGTGTCTATTTCTGTAAATTTGTATGTGTCTTTTTCTGTAAATGTGTGACGACATGACTGCCTTGTCCATCTGAATCATCTAAAATTTGGCATTTCACGTGGACAGATAAAAAAGAAAATGGAAACATTAAATCATTTAAAAAGGAGTACTCAAGATGTGTTTTAACCTGCTCTCGTATAAATCCTGTGTTGATGTTTGGGAAAAAAAATACAATTTTACCACGGACCACGGAAATCACTGGGGGATAAAAAGTGACAATTTATATATATATAAAAGATATACTCCATTTCAAAAAGAAAGGCGATTTTTAAGCTTTTGTCGAAATCCTGTTATCCAGTATTTGGAAATAATACTGGATTCCACAATGTGAAATAAGCACACGTGACATAGTAATTCCAATAAATAATTAAATATTTATTCCAAAAATAAACATATGTAAGAAAATGCCATTTCTTTAGTCTTAAATGAAGCAGAAAACTTCCTAAGCACAGTCTACACGTAACATGTCCTTGCATATTGAATGTCTTGAATTCATTAAAATAATCCGGTGTCACGCAAAATGTTTTGTTTTTAAATTGAAATTGTCACTCAAACTAAACGTCTTGGTATTTGAAATATTTCCTGTAAGTTTATAGACCAAATCGGAATTTTATTTGTTCTGCTTCTTAAAACTAAGAATAGTTCACTAACAAATGATGAATACAAACTCTGCGAGGAAACGAGATTAAATCTCTAATAAAGTTTACACAAAAAATACCACAATGTCGTATATGATAACGTCTCTGGTAAAAAAATGTCTGCACCAAAAATCCACAATGAAGCGTAACATAGTCAACATGGTCCATTAACTGGTTCTTCCAGATATACAAGAAACAATCCATTCAATCAACGAGACTTGTCGATCCATCTGCGAAACACATTATGACACAACAGTGTAAAAAGTTCAAGTAAAACGGTAAATTGCTAAAGTTATATATAAAACAAGTAAAAGGCAAATATATTTATATATATGCGCGGAGTATTGTTAACAGAATAAAAGTTCTAAGCAGTTTAGTTCCATATACTCTGTTTTGCTCTAACATTGAATGTTTCATTCAGCGGTCGTATAAAATGAAAGTCGTACGCCTTGCAGTAAGGACACGCTATCATCCGACTATATTGACTGTAAAATGTCAGACCGGTGTTGACGTCTACAACTGCTCGACGACATTGCTTGCATGTTAGCCGCTTCTGACAGCATGGCGTAGCAGCGAATATATCGTAAGTGTACATAGTTCCAAGTTGTAGTGCGCTCCCGTCCCATGGACATTTGCATGATGCACACCGCATATCGGTTCCTTTTTCAAGGCACTGTACGCAGACGGCGTTGATAAACTGTAGACGGCCGTCGGAGATGACTTGTACTACTCCATCGCCATACGCCTGAGGTGACAAGAAGAATGTTCCGTCGATCATAGGGTACCTATCAAAAACTGGTAATCCGCTCTTACATATAACACAGCTCAGCGAGCAAATCTTGTAAGATGTCAAGTGAGAAAGTATAAAGTTCCTGGTATCATCCGTACCATCGTCGTCCATCTTGATATGGTATGGATTCTGTTTATGCCGTGGTAGAAAGGTGAAGGCAGACAGATCTTGGCGACGTCGAAAGGAAGTGTTTGCGTTAAACGAGTGGACATCTACGGTTTTGGGGCTTTTTGGGAAAGCCGGTGGGTTCATGTTACCGTTAACAATAGGAGACGATGGTGTCGGGGATGACGACGATCCAATAGAACCAGAAGAACGCGGTAGGCTTCCACTGCTACTGACGCTGTCAGTGCGCGAGCGCTGTGTAGAAAAGATATGGTTCGTGTTGCTCACATGATGATTGTTGTTAGACGTGTTGTTGTTGTTGTTGTTTACATTTGTTGTGTTGATAGGTGCACTGTGAATTTGGTTGTTGTTGTTATGGGGTATGGAGGTAGTAGCGTGTCCCCCTTTCCCGTTACTCACCACAGGAGCTGGTTTATCATTCTTCTTCTTCGGTTTCTTTTTGTTTTTGTTGTCGACAACAGCAACTTGTGGTGTTGGGAAATAATCCAGATCCTTTCGTATGTGTCCTCTCCCACATTTGCAATCACAAGCCTTGAAAGCTAGATCGTAGCCTTTCTTTGTCCACAAATTTTGCAAGCGTTGTTTTTCGCTCCAGCTTCTAGCACGTCCACACGAGCGTAGATAGGACAGCACGGTTTCCTCCCATTCCTCAAAACAATCCTTGTGCATCCACTTACTGAAGTTGCATGCTTCATTGTTGCAGAACACTTTCACAGATTTTTCAGGCTCTTTAGGATTAATTAAATCCTCGGATGAAGTGCAGGTTAGAGGCACACAACATTTGACAAGTTTGGGACCAGCTCTGTTGTCATTTTCTTCAACAACAGGCGCCCTTGTTTCTGCAGCGGCTTGTACATTGTTATTTTCCACATCCTTTTTAACAACGTTGTGCAAATGCACCTTTTGGTGTTTCCGGTGAGGCATATTCCAGAAAATGCACACAATTCAAATATTCAATCACTAAATATTATCACAGTATTTACGTGCAAAAAGTAATGCCGGCTTTTACACCAGTTTATTATTGTTGACAATAACGTGGAACTGCCTACTTTCGTTTAGAACAATGGCTTTGATTGGTTAAAAATACGGTCACGAATTATGATTGGTTGAATGAATAATCTATGACCTTAGACGCAAGATTGATTATTTTGTTAGAAGTACAAGCATTAATAGTGTATTTATATTCTACGCGTTTATCATAAATAGGTCGAGGCCGTTTGTAATCTAAGTCGGTATTTTTCAATAACAATTTTATATTTAAACATCTTTTCTATCAATAGTAACATACACTGTATTTTAAAGTCGAAATTTGGTTATGAATCTGGGTTATAAAGTGAGAAATAAATGCAATTGGGAAAAAATATAATAGAAGTAAATCGATTTGTGCATGGAGGCATGGCCTAACTTTTAAAAAATTATATTCGTAAACAGCTTGCTCGGGTTACACACTTTAACAAAGACTTCTTTTTATTTTATTGATAAAATATCAAACTAGTGTGAATAACGAGAGGCCTATTCTGATATTAGCCGATGTTAAACGTATTTTATTAAAACGCATATTTTTCTTGCGACTTGTTCGACGATAATATGATCATATATAATATACTAAAAATCAATATGCTTTTGCTTGATAAAAAATATTTTACACTCTGCAACTCAGACCTGAATGTCGACACAAACAAATTGTTTTTGATTGATAAACAATGTCGAAATAAAACGCGTCGACTGGACACAAAAATGAATCTACAAGTGCAAACGCAGGTGAAATACAAACAACTGATAGTTTGCCAAAATTCTTAATTATGCCTTCTAAACAAAACACTTTAGCGAAACATCATGCATATTTAAAGTGCAGACGCAGCTGTTATTGAAAATCGATCAAACTTTATTATGTAACACCGAAATTGATGTCACAAGGAAAGCTGAAATTACATGACAATTTGTTAGAGGTGGGAGGTGTCAAATTATAGGGAATATTCGTCGGTAAAATATTCACGGATCTCGAGGCGCTTAAAGGCATTTAGTTGTTAATGGTACGATTTGATTCTGCTGTGGCGCATTCAAAATTGGGCGTAGATGGCGTACACCACCTTTTGATAGAAAAAATATCGCTTTTAAGCATAAAATTGTTCCAAAAAAAAAGTCCCCTCGCTCCGCTCAGTTAATATAGATATTCCGTTTTTTTGGAATTACGCACCCCTTTCAAAAATCCTGGAGCCAACCCTGTTCTTTCAAAACATGCAAAGGTTACTATGTCCTTTAAGCACCTGCCCTAGGTGACTTCGGCATTTGGATAACTGCATAAAAGTCTTGTCCATGTGCACTAGCCACGAGGAGGACTATATATATCCTTTTTGATTATTAGTTTATGTTGTGATTTAAAGTGTTAACCTATTAATATTTGTGTGTATTGGCTTGAGTGTCCTTTAAGCACCTGCCCTTAGTGACTCCTGCATATGGACAACAATACTATTTGTTCATATGCATATAGAGGAGGCATGCTGTCAAAAATAGTATAATACTAAATATTAATAATCTTTATTTTTTTTTTTTTTTCAATGCTACATGTTTGTATTGTTTAATGTCTATCGTTTTGTCATTAATATGCCTGTCTGTCTGTCTGTTTGTTTGTTTTGTTTTGGTTTTGTATTGGTTTGTTTATTTAGTAACAATCCTATTGTTTGGATTTTAAACTAATAAAATTCTTATTCTTATTCTTATTCTTATTCTTATGCATCAGCCACGAGGAAGGACTTAACTCAAAAAAGCTATTTTTATAATGGATGTGATGCTGCTTCTGGTGCATGGTCAATAAACACTAAACATAATGGGTTATATGACTACATATATTATTAACTCAATTTATAGTTCATGTTTTGAGTTGGTTTTTTTTTACAGTGTATTGTCTATATTGTAATTGATAAATATAAAAATCACTGTACTGATTATGCCCATAATGGGTCCTCTATTGGAAATAAAAAAAAAATTATCTTTATCTTTATCTGTATATGAGATAATGAAGGGAGGAATAGAAGATAAAGTTAGAATTTTTGGAACTACGCACCCCTTTAAAAAATCCTGGAGCCAACCCTGTTCTTGTATATGAGATAATGAAGGGAGGAATAGAAGATCAAGTTAGAATTACTGCAAACAAATGAGGAGTACTGGTAAATTGTGGATTTCGAAAAGTAGATATGAGTATTATGCCCTCGAGGTGGGGGAAGCCCTTACTATGTTGTTGGTGATAAGGATGAGCCGCTTGAATACGTCGCCATTGCAAGCTTCCTTATTATTATGATTGCTGATTATAACAAGGATCTGAACTGTTAAGTACTGTTTAAAGATGCAATTAAATGCATCATATATTTGACTTTATGAAATAGCAAAATAAAGCTACGGGTTTGTTTTTTGTCAAACAATATATATATATATGGTAGGGGTATTAAATGTCTCAGCTGCATGCTCACCCTACCCCAAAAGATGATTGGATTCCGAGGGAGTAATGTTATATTGTGTCTATGTGTGTGTTTCAGGGCGATAGAGGAAGCTGTGAGGGAATGACTGATGGGGGAGCTGTTAAATTAAGCTCTTTCTCTTTTCAGGTACTGAGAGAAGATTTAGCATGACTATTCTTCCAGACAATTAAATTGTTATGATATCAACAGTGATGGCAGTAAGAATTGGGGAGCATTTTTGGGAGAGAACTTGTAAAAATATTGATATAATTTTTTGTCACTAGCGCTGGGATGTAGTCTTTTTTTTTCATCACACCCTCTTCAAATTCGGACGTGGTATCCCCTCATCAAACCTTTTATGAGTTCATTAATAAAAATAATGAAATGGGTAATCATATTTGAAGAGGGGTTTGTAAATATATACTACCATAAAGTCTTATCGATTGATAACTCATGGCACTTCCTTCAAAGAAAAATGAAATGCTAGCAGCCCACATTTGTTTGTGAGCCTGCTAACTAAACGTTCCTTCATTACAACAATGAAGTTTTTTCCCTACTAAATTAAGTGATCAAAACACATTGAGAGAAAGCTAGTGTAACAACGTCTGATTGTTTCTATTTTGATTTATTACTTTTCTGATTTAAATTCAATACGACCGTGACATTGAACGATACTCTTTTTAATATTAACAGCACTAGATCATTAAAAGACAAAAACAAATACGAAGAGGCATTGTATTTTTTTTTTTGCGGTAAACAATAAAACATTTCCGTTCTGAACTTGTTTACAATAAATAAAAATCGGTATAAATGAGTCATTCGAAAAAGTCTAATCAATGAAACAAGGGAATTAAATGTATTTTCTATGTTGACTAACCATGCTAACTGGTCTGTTCTAAAATTATCCCTGTATATCGATTTCTATTTATTCAAAATCAAAAGAAATGTTTGATGGCGTCGTTACGGGATACAAGCCGTCCCTACTTCATTAATTAAACCCATAAATAACTCGAGTAGAATAAAGCGAAAATAAGATGTGTTTGATGAATTCCCAATAAATGAAATTTCCGTTGCCTTGATTCTGTTTAAAAGTATACTGTGACCTAGTCACTTAACTGACCGAAGCAGTTGATATTTCCGACATGATTTGTTTCGACATTGATCTTTTCAGACGGTTAATTATTTATTTTTTGTAATAAAGATCGTTATTTTTGTATCAAAGTACATTGAGAGGATCAGGTATTGAGATTGTTATGTAGGTTTAAATAAAACAAACATATTTAAACCTTTAGAAAAGTCATTACTTACAAAAATTAGTATGCACATTTGAATAACTGACAACTGTCCGAAAAGATCAAATCTTTTTTCATTTTCTTCTTGTTTAGGGAGAGGATTTGAAGTTACATTTGAGGGAGCTTTAATAAACTATTCGAAAATAAAATAATAAGCAAAAACAAATTAAGTCACGCAATTTTGTTAAAAACTTTCTTGTAAATTATGCTAAGACATGCAACACACAGGTACTATGATACGTTTCTGAACTTTAGTAACTAGTGATAGAAAGATAGAAATAGTGACAATCATTGTGTAAACAAATAACTGCAATAACGATACAAGGTTTTTATTGTCTTATTATGCTTTGCAATTAAGATATCAAAAGGACAATATATACCATAAGTCGAAGAAAAATGAAAATGAAACAATAAACAATCTAAATACAGAAAAGACGAACAGACATCAGCCAACAGATGGCTGCACGTAAAAACAAAGATTGGCAAATGCAATCACATCCATGAACAAAGAATGAACTCAGGTTCTCCGAAACGGTTAACAGTTTCCGCCCGTCCGGTCGTATAGCTCATAACAAATAATCCGGTATTAGGTCGTTTTCGGCAATGTCATTAAAGGGGAAAAGAGAATGGAGTGTGGTTACAGGAAATAGAAGAGTATGGCGACTCAATTCCAAAATCCCGCTTTTTTTGTAATTTTTTGCCACTTCCACTTTTTTCCTTTTTTCTCCCCGAGATCCCACCTTTTTTATATCCCTTATGGCCACCTCCGAAACATGTGTCACCCCAACCCCGAGAGAAGGCCTTTGTGGTTATTTCTGAGATAGCGTCCGTGAAAATTTCAAAATGTGATGATTTCAAGTTTACTATTTAAAATCACCTTTTCAATAGCTTCCTTGCAATCAGATAACCTAGCTAGTATATTGCTCTAATTTTTTATCCAATTTGATAAAAACTTAATGTAATATTGTCAAGGAAATCGTGGAAAAATAAAAAAAAAAACCTGGAAGATCGTATGAAATGAGAGATATACACCATATGCAGGTATAGAATAAAATGGAAAGAATCGAAGTCATCTCTTTTGTCGTATAGTTCTCAACGAACTTCACTGTCGAGGCGAAGCAGGGTTAGCTTTGCATAAAAATATATTCGAGGCTGAAAGTATAAAGTTCAGTTGAGCATATCGATCAATCAGTCTAACCTTTTGTGAACAATCAACAAGCAATCATCAATTAATATATTTAATAAAACAGCTGATGCATGAAAAGTCGGTCGAATAACAAACATTATAATTATCACTAGACAAGGGAACATTATTTAACATTACTATTTAACTTATTTTTTTATACATAATTTTGTTGTTTATTCTATAAATTTTCTCCTAATGTCAGTAATATAACATGGCATAATGTATTAATTTAACATCAAGGTTTTACAATTATCTTTATTATTTATAAGTGCTTTTTACCTATAATGATGCATTTTTATGTATGAATATGTTTGTGAAAGAAAGATGATCACAATTTTGTACATTATTTATTACATAGAAAATTAAACGAATTCAGAAAGTGTAAACTTGTCAAGGAGAAATCCGGTTGAATTCACCTTCGCTTTCATTTTTTTTACCTACGTTTAAATACATATAAACACAATATTTAATGTATAAAATATTCATAAACATATGGAAATTACATTTATTTCTCTCCTGGATATCAGGTGTAGAGGGTAATGTTATAAAACTACATAAAACACATTATGTTGTGGTTGTATATCCCGACTTATAACTTTATTTGCAAATTACATCCATATTGGTCAAGCCAAAACAAAAATATAACACAGTTCAGTGAATTACAGGAAAGGACTATTAAACCAATTGCTAATTTACCTACAAGAATTTAGTAAGACTGAAAGCCTCAGACATTTACCAACGCGGGTTTCTAAATATTTTGAATGCTGAATAACCAGTGGTAAATATTTCATGCATGTTCAGGACAAATACTCGTTGATGTATGATCAAAAAGTAGGAGATTATATAGACTCAGTGCAGCATTAAAACGGAAACAATAGGTATATAACACATTAACGTGAGGAATAAGTAAAAAGCAAGACCTTTTAGACGTGACTTTCAATTCAAAATATAAAAAACACAGTTCGTGCTTTTAGAATTTGCTATCAATTGTTTCGGAAGTAAAGATTTGGCTTGTGATTTTGTTCTTCCGTTCACAAGATGTTGACACCACTTTTCAAGTTTAGTCTCGTGTAATGCACACTTTATATCATATGACGTTATTTATAAATATTATAATGAACACGTGTATTTGATTTGACATCTATCGTGTGACTAAGGTCTACCAAGTTACGAGTATTTTGCGCGCTTAAATTAGCAGAAAGAACTGTAACGGTAAATTAATATTTATTATGTGTTATTCGACGCTTGCTTTTCGGACAGTCCAGTCTCGTCAATTCTGCTTTGATATGACTGAGACGACTCGCTGCCAGATAAAACTAGAGATGGAAGAACCAGATCATCTTCTGAAAAATATTTTGTAATCTTTTTAGGGATTCTGTAACCGGAGGGATTTCCTGATTTGATTGGCCATCCTCTAAATCACTGAGGGTGCGAAAATTAGAAATTTGCTCTGGACACAATACCAAAAGGGATTAGAGATTTACATGATACGTTTTCACAATTTAGGCTTACTGGTTTTAGGCTTTACATGGATGGGAAAATGGATGCTCTTGAATCCAAGTTGGTACGCGAACAAGACGAGATGTCAAAGAAGATCAAAGAAGAAGTTTCCATCAAGTTCAAACACGAAGGAAACAGAATCCCGTTCAAGTCAAGGCCGTAACTACCATTGAGGCAAGTGAAGCAATTGCCTCACTTAAATTTCGACACTGAAATTTTTTTTTTGTGTATTTGTTTATGGTAATTAAATACGGAATATAGTCATTTTTATTCTGTCTCAATCTTAATTTCTATAACTTGACATCGTTCCTTTTAAATTATTCTTCCCGGATATAACTCAGCATCTCACCGGGTTTCTCGATTACATTAAACTAGTAACCGGTAATCATCATGGATCTCCGGTTAAAACAGGCTCTTGCAGAAAAAGGAAAAGCGATACTGGAGGTGAGGAAAGAATAATTCTAGTAACTAATGGATGTTATTTGTGATCACAACAGGCGTTAAGAGTTCCAATATTGAATATATTTTCATCGGAACTAATCCAAAAACTATAAATAGACTGACAAATCGAATACTGGGGCACCGCACGGGAGCAGTCCTGTCTGAGTATTCATTTCCCCGTTTTCCCCAAATTTATTCGTTCTCTTTACAGATAAACAAAAAATAAATAATATGAAACATGCATGGATTAGTTTTTATCCATGTTTCTGTTACCTTAAAATTTGAAAGAACATCACGTAATCCAATTTTGACATTATTGAGGGACGATAGGACCTTTAAAACGGGATTTCGTGTTTTCTAATTCGGAACTTCTGGATTTCTTGTCTTTTAATTCGGGATTTCGGGATCGGTCCCCTCCTACCCCTCATTATTCGATTGTTGATCTAAAACGATTTGACAAAACCGGCCAAAGAAAAATTGGCAAACTCTAATTTGAATAACACTTGCTACTGAGTCGATGTTTGTTCTGTGTTCTAATGGCAGAGTCAAATTGATATTTGGATGTTTATCTGATATATAGATTTAAATAAAGTTGTTAAAAATTTGGTGTTAGTACATGTCTTAAAATATGAAAAATATATAAAAAGTATCCAAAAATAAAAACTCCGGACATCTTGTCTCAACGATGTCAAGCTCTCTGAAAATACCCAGAATGCAGGATTTTACACCATTTATCCCAGACCCCCTGCCGAAATTTTTCGCCTCGCTTCGCTCGGCTCAATGTGTTTTTCAGTTCTGCCTTACTAAAATAATATGCCTAGTTACGGCTTTGCAAGTATAATGAAGAAACAGTGAATGAACTCAATAAACATCACAAATTGATTCCTTCAACGGAAGCACAGAATATTTGTGTGGTTTTGGATTTGCTGGAAAAGATTTTAGGCCGTAACAAACTGACAAGGATTGCAGATTCTTCCCTGGCAGGATGGTCAAAAGTTCGGGAGTATGAGTTGAACGACGTCGCACAGCAAGGTCGAGAAGAAAATTCACCAGGCGGAGAGCCGAGTCACGCGCACGATGAAAGAAATGTCTAACAAGCGTCCCGCTCCGTATTTCAATACACCAAGATTGCCACCAGCCGAAACCTATCCTAATTCTGCTTACACTCATATGTTTCAGAGGCAGCCCTTTCGTTACCTTTTCGCTCGGATTGAGCCGTGCCATTGGGACATGTGTTTCCTTTGTAAGCAGTTTGGGCATTGGACAAAAAATTGCCCCCTCAAATCAGGATTCGTTGGTGCCAGATCGTCAGGAGTTGCCAATCAGAAATAAATCTCCAGATACATCCAGAAATGTAAATGTTAAGTATAAATTTATTGATTTTATAAAAAAGAAGATGTGGTATGATTGCCAATGAGACAACTCTCCACAAGAGACCAAATGACACAGAAATTAACATTTGATTGTTTTGAATGACAAAATTTTTACAGTATGAAGTAGATACATTCCTAACTCAAATTCATTACTTCAAGAAATTAGTCATAAATTCACATCGTTTACGGATGTAAAATTTTAAAATTTTTGGTCTTTAGTTTGGCCAAAAGACACGTAGTAATCAATCGTTCAGTAGTACATTTTTACCAGTGGTGTGCTTTGCTTTTAAAAAAGAATATTATTTATGTATAAAGTAAAATGGCAAAAATACCAAACTCCAAGGGAAATTCAAAACGGAAAGTCTTTTATAAAATGTCAAAATCAAAAGCTCAAACACATCTAATGAATGGAAAACAACTGTCATATTCCTGACTTGGTACATACATTTTCTTATGTAGAAAATGGTGGATTAAACCTGGTTTTATATGTAGCTAACCTCTCACTTGTATGACGGTCGCATTGAATTCCATAATATTTACAACAATGTGTGAGCAAAACAAATGGACAAAATAGGTGTATATTTCCCCCTCAAATCTGCTAAATACAAAGACAAACAGTAACCATTGTTTAATTGTAAGAGTGTTTCAGTGTTTCAGTATTTTGTTTATCTTAAAATTTCTTCTCATACAGGCAAAAATGTGCAAAACTAAATCACAGAGATTAAATAGCATTTACAAAATGCATTTTCTAGTGCCTCTTGACACAGTCTTTGCAATGTAATCGTCATTACATCAAGAATTAGAACAATATTCAAGACATTACCCCTTCACCAATCAAAAATGACCGCTAAGAAATAGCACACAAGTGGTGATAGTGGCGTTAAACATAAACCAATCAATCAAGCTATGTATTCATAGGTGCATTTCCTTTGGCATTCAATGGATTCCTAGATCCTAAAACTCTCAAGCTGATTATACCAGAAAAAAGGTCGATTACGAAGACTAGGGCGTTTCAAATATAATTTGTTTTCTATTATGAATGGTTTATGGAGTTCTTACACAATGGACAGGTTTGTAAACTCTCAACATGCTTAAGTGTGTAGATCTAATTCTCTATTTTGGAACACTTTCATAATAATTTTTGACGCTTTCATACAAGATTGGTCAAATGAAAATAACCGGTTACTACCACCTGTTTATTCTGTTATTCGATGCATCAAACAGTTTATTTACTCTAACGATACAGGAATCAGAAATCAGCAGCCTTTTGGACCTATATTTTTTATAGGAACTTAGAGTACCGGGTGCTTGTTACTGATATTGTTGAATTTAAAGATAAAGAAGGTATCTGCATAAGATGCTCTAACACAAATTCTGAATTTGCCCTAGAACAATTTATAACACCAATCTCGGTTTGTTTTGTGAGTAAAGAATTAGTTGCCCTCTTTTACTTTAGGGGTCCCAACATTACTATTAAGAAATGGAGGGTCCCACAATATATAGTGTATTTAAAATGCATTGTGCTGTTGTTTTTTTAAATACTGTTCAGTGTATTGATTGTTTATATAGTATTGGCTTGTATATAGGTTGTGGGACCCCTAAAGAAAGAGAAGGCATTATTACACTCTTTTACTTTAGGGGTCCCATTAAAATTACCTTTAAATAATTAAAATTATGTGTTTTTTAAAGTTTTACTCAATATCTATACGACAGAAATCAGATAAAAGGATGTGAAGATGTAAAATTTAATACAACTGGTAAAGAAGTGAATATTTAATATCATTACAAACAACGTACTTTTATGGACCGGGACCCCTAAAGTAAAATTCAAAAATGTCGGGACCCCTAAAGTAAAAGAAGGCCGAATTAGTTTACATGGTCACGTGTATTGATGGTTTTACTGATAATAATATTTGGTTGTAGCATGGTCAATTATAGTCTTATTGTATAGTTGTCAGGGTCACATGTATGACCAGACTTCTAGGGTATGTGACGTATGGTCATGAGTTTCAAACATATATGAAAATTTGTTGAACATATAAGTTTTTATGCTCTTAACACTCTTTACAGACACGTTGAAATATGGCAATCATTGTCCAGCAACATTCATCCTAGCATGCTTACACAACTGGTACATAAACTTCTAGATTATATTCTCTTGTCAAAGGCGGACATCATTAGAGAGAAGTTGTAAGTATATATGGTCGAAACTGTAAATATATTATCTGTGTCAGATAGAAATCGCTTCATGCAAGTGGCGATAGTTTCATATACATGCATTTCACGGCGCCCATTTCACTATGGATGAATAGGAAATAGAATTCTGACATTAAAGGTAACTTGTTGGTCTAAATTTAAAGATTCTTACAAAATATCCAAATTTAGAAACGGTTCAAGCATATGCATGCACATTTCTCAATCAAATATAGCGTACTATATGTATTAGTATTTATTCGCATAAGGTCGATTTCTATCTGATGCAGCTCATATCAAAGAAGTACGCATTGTATACATTTGCTTATTAAGTAATACATGTATTTGTAAATGTTATAATGAACACGTGTATTTGTTTTGACATTTATCTCAGGTCTAGTAATGTCTACTCAGTAATTGAGTATTTCATGAGCGTTGATAAGCAGAAAGAACTGTATTCAACGCTTGCGTTTCGGACAGTCCAGTCTGGCCAATTCTAAACCACCAACCCATCCACTTTTTAAGTTATCAGAGTTGATGTTGTATTTCATATATTCATATTTGTAATACTGATAGAGGTTGACGTATTTGCGAATTTAAAGATTTTACATACTGAATTGCTTAGGAACATAAATTATTTCTTTTGTAGATTGTGTATAATTGTAATACTATGACGAGACAGCGGCTGCGGATATGCAGTTATAATACATGAACACTAGTATTATTTGTAAAGAAATTTATAAATGCTGTACTGTATTATTCAGGCGAGCTGATATCTCAAACAGTGTTTGGTTTTATTTTTTAAATAGTTTATGTTCTTTTGAGTAGACGAACAAGAACATAAATTGTACATCAATTTCACGGACGTGGTTGATCTGTTTAGAAAATAAATAAATAAAGAAAGTACAATATCAATAAATGTCAAAGAGTACACTGAAATGATGATACACTAAAAATGGTGAATGCGACCCATCTCATATTTCTAATATTTCATATTAGTAAAATTAACTCGAATGTGTATGTTTTGTAGAATAACCTCATCATAGATACATAACACCTATCGGAATCTTGACACTCTTCATTGAATGAGTATTTAAAATCCATACCGAGAGTCAAACGTCTGACATAATTGGTACCATTTTAGGAAACCATAAACTAGGGGACTGTTAGGTCATTCAAGGTTATCAGCAGGCTGAAAATGTCATTCGATTATGTCCAGATCTTATGACCGATATAACCCTTCCGGAACACTGGCGGTCAAGGTGTTGATTGGTCTCTGTTTTTTTTTTTGTGTATTCTGGTTGTCATGACGTTTTTGTGGGATTTGTGTTGATTGGTCTTTGGTTTTCTGTGTATTCTGGTGGTCATTGCGTTTTTGTGGGATTTGTGTTGATTGGTCTTTGGTTTTCTGTGTATTCTGGCGGTCATGGCGGTTTTGTGGGATTTGTGTTGATTGGTCTTTGGTTTCCTGTGTCTTCTGGCGGTCATGGCGTTTTTGTGGGATTTGTGTTGATTGGTCTTTGGTTTTCTGTGTCTTCTGGCGGTCATTGCGCTTTTGTGTGATTCGTGCTGATTTGTGTTCTGTGTATTGTCTAATATACGTGTGTGTCTTTTCGTCTATTTTCTTATTTGCCATTTTGTCTCCTGGCTTTCTTCGACTAATAGTGTTTGAGTTGTACTCTTGGTATCATTTTACTTTTTGATAAAAAATTCTTAGTCCAAAATAACTGATACTAGTATGAGAGCAGTTTTCCTGTCGACTGATGACGCTGATAAATCAATTTTATCTGTACACGTGTACGCGAGCGACAAACAAATCAATTGGAGCAAATTGAAAGGTCTCATTTCATCAAGATTGTGATTGTTAGAAAGTCATTCAGCATTTTTACTGAAAATTAACAAGATTAACATATACTACAGTGAAATCTGTCTAAACGAAACCCTAACTATACCGGAAACCTATCTAATTCAAATCTTCAGTCTTGACCAATTCTGACTAAGCCGAAAACCTATCTACAATAGACGTAATCCAAAGTCCCTTTATATCATCATCAATAAATTGTGCACCTGTCTTAACCGAACAAATTCGTCAGTTCGTTTAGAAAAATTTCATTGAAAATAGCCTATATCCAACAGGGTGGAATATAAGAAACTGCGAAGGTGAACACAGCCGAACTTGATGCGTTTGAGACAATTAGTGAATTGTGTCACATGAAAACAACAAAACATTAAAATATGTAGCAAATTTGTTTTACCACTGATCGAGGGCAAGAGGGGAAGGAATAAGTGCTCATAAAACTAGTTTAACATCGCGACAAGTTTATAGGCCTGTCCTAAGTCAAGAACAATGTCTGTGTTTGTTTAGATATATCTTAATGTTTTTGTCCTTGAGACAAAATAGCGTTGAAGGCAGATCTTTGATAGTTTGAATGATTCATTACTATCTAGAAACCGAGCGATTTAAAGTCTAAATAAAGGCAATAGTAGTATACCGCTGTTCAATAGTAATAAATCGATTTAAATGAAACAAATCCGGGTCACAAACCAAAACTGAGGGAAACACATCAACTATAAGAGGAAACAAAACGGAACAACAGAAACACTGAACTGCTACAAAAACAAACGCCAACATACATAGAAGCGGACTATGTGATAACAACTGCTATTTAATAGAAAACGTATATTGACTGTTAGATGTTTTCTGTCTTTTGTGTCATTTTGTTGCTGTCTAAATGATGTATACCTCACGTCTCTTTTAATTCTTTTTAATGAACTCGGTACAGTAAATATCAAATCAGCAGTCAGTAATAGATATTTCAGAAAAACTCTACCCGGTAAAAACAACAACACTATTTGTTGTACGGTTGCTTGCAGATACTTTTAACAAACTCAAATAAACCTGCATCTGATGATCATGAAATCATGCAATTTATCACGGACAGGTCAATGAATGAATTCACTCAAAATAAGGCGGTGTACACCACTCCTTTTCCTGCGATTTTGAAATCATTAGAATATTGAATAGAAAAAAGAAGGAAAGAGAATCTAATCTCGAACATCTTGAGAAAGATTTCCGTTTGTTTCTTAGCTCGTACAAGGTTCTTCAAAGATAAGAAATCCAATACCCATGGTTGTCTGAGATTTTGCCGTATTGCCATTTACTTCTGAACATACTGCAATATACTTTTCTTATTTCATCTCTGTTCCTTTCTTTACATTATGTCTCAGCTGTAAATTTCACATGAATATATGAAAACCGTATGGAGATATTCAGACATAGATAAGATTGATTCAAATTCAAATGCACTACCAACTGCAAATCAATATTAATGTGAATTTTATATAACAGCTTACATATCTTAATGTCAAACATAAATTAATTTAGTTAAAAATCGTTTAAAACTTGCAAGCAACTAAAGGTCCAATGTCAAATAAAAGCTTTAAATAACTTACAATTTAAATACTTAATAAAAGGGAAAAATGAAATGATTGATTTACTAAATTGTATGATAAGGCCACCTTTTTGCACTTGTATTTGGAAACCAAAAAGTACCACAAATCTATATAAAAAAACAAAGTCATCAGATATTCCCAATGCTAAAGCCAGATAATTTAACAAATGTATCTTTAATTTAAGGAAAATTATATCAAACATGTGAAAAAACCACGTAAAATTTGCGTGATTTGAGTTTTTGTGATGAATGGGGTATAAATCAATTATACAGTAACACAATGACACAAAAAGCGAAAAAAACATGTAGAGGTCAATATACGTTTTCTATACAATATGTTATGCTCTTAAATTCATTTATTCATAATTCATCCATAATACTATTCCTGTGATTTATTGACGTTTTTGAAATCATTTATTTAAGAGGGAAAAAGAACCCAATCTCGAACACCTTGAGAAATATTTCCGTTTGTGTCATAGCTCGGACAAGGTTCTTCAGATACAATACCCATGGTTGTCTGGGATATTACTTCAATATACTTTTCTTATTTCATCTCAGTTCATGTATTAGATACACCTATGAGGGCTAACGATTTGGTGTATCTAATTTACACCAATATATTATTATCAATGATAGTTCCCAATAATGTAGGATGGGGTCTTTCAGCGAGTTGATCATATGTTATTGCAAAGCATGATAAATGCAGGATATCCAATTTTATTTAACGACATATTCGTGTAAATCTTTATTTTATGTCTCAGCTGTAAATTTCACATACATATATAAAATTGTCTGGCGATATGCAAGCATAGATAAGATGAAATCAAACGCACTACTAATACAAATCAATCTGAAGGTACACTTTATGTAACAACTTGCATCAGACTATTAAAGATACATTAATTTATTTAAAAATCGTTCAAATCTAATTAAGTTTTTATGTCAAATAAAAGCTTGAAATAACTTATGATAAACGTGAAAAATGACATGATAAATACTCAAGATTGTATGATAAGCCTACCTTTTCGCACTTGCATTTTATATCAGTAGACTATTAATGTACGGTTGTGAGATATGGGGTGTACACAAATTTTCCTATGCTAGTAAAGGTTTATTTGGACTACTATAAAATGCTATTGTGGTGGTCTAGTTCGAATTAGCGGTATTTTATGTGTACTTAATTTTTAGTTCAAAATTTTAATGTGTTAATTAATTTGTTTTTAAGTGTTCAAACTGTATGAATGGTCAACATATGTAAAAAAAAATGTATGCAGTAGATTGTACAGTTGAATTTAATGCAATGTATTATAAGGCCATATTTTCGCACTTGAATTTGAAAATCAAAATGTATTATTATAGAAAAGAAAAAATATGGGGTATCCATCCACGACACAAAATTACTTACACGCACAGAAAAAATAAAAACGAAAAAAACAAAAAAAAAAGAAAAACAAAAAAAACAAAAAAAAACTAAAATTATAAATCTATTTGATAAAATATCTATCACGATAATCCCAATGCTTAAGCCAGATCTCATAATAAATATGTTTTTAATTTTGTCATAAATTTGCTTTAGGCTTTTACAATTCTTGCATTTAAGGAGAATTAACGGCAAAAACACTTTTAAAATGGTATTGTTTTGACCTGTTAGATATCTATATACAACATATTGACTCAAAGGATAATTACTATATATATAATAAAATATTAATTTTCACGAACCATTTAGGTCACAGAAATTCCAAAAAATGGCATCAGTAAGGAGAGTTGTACAAATGATGTGAATACACAGAACCCGGATCCAAATTATCTTTTACTAAAAGTATTCATCATTTTCTGTTTTGTATGTACTAACAACATTTCATTTTTCTACAATTTCGATTAAAATATTATAAAACCTGCAGTTCAATAGGTCACATGCCCCAAATAAACATTCCCCGATTGGTCGAACTACTGTGGCCTCGGTGTAAAGCAACGCAAGCCTCGATGTAAAGATCACGCTTCCAAAAATAGAGGTATGTCCCAACTTAACATTCCCCGATTGGTTGAATTGCTGCTCGATGTAAAGCAACGGAAGCCTTGATGCAATGAAGAAAAGGGGTTGACAGGATAAACGTAATCGTTATAAATTTTAACTTCATGGTTCTTATGCAAGCAAATTTAATAAACAATGATTTTATACAGTTATGTTATTATTTTCACCTTACATAGGGCTTTATTTCTGATCTTATTTCTGTGTACACAATTCTGAATCTACATATTTCACCTATATCAATATTAGGTAATCCGTTTGGACGATTCCATATACTATTATGTTTTAGGGTTTTTTAGCTTCAGTGTCGAGTTGGTGTATAGTATTGAGGGCTGTCTGCGAGAAATAAATCCTTTTTTCTGATGAATTAACTAAATTCGAAACCAATATAAAAATAGTTAACACATATATTTTATTTAACTGAGCAAAATTGATCGGA